CTGGGAAGGTGAGAACTGATCTGTAGTGTACATTTTGGTGGTACAGTTAACAGGAAATGCTGTTAGGGTTGATCTGGGTGGGGGTGGGTGAAATGGGTGGAGGTTGAGGGAAACAGTGGAATCAAAGAAGACCCCTAGGTTTTCAACTTGGGCAAATGAGTGGACAGTGGTGTCATTTATTAAGAAGCAAACATGAGAGAAAATCAGCTAGGATGGCTGAAGATATCAAGGGTTTTGATGCATTAAATTTTAAGATGCCTGTTATGTGTACAAGAGTAGATATTAAGAAGATGGTGGATTACAGAAGTCTGGACATCAGAATTGGAAGCGTAACGTTGGAAGCTATCAGTTAACATCTTGGGAATTGACAAGATCACAATGAGATATAAAGTAAAAAGGGAACCAATGGCAAGGCACCAGGATGATCTCAGTAAGCTCAGGGAGCAAGGTACTTACCCAAAACAAAACTCACTTCCCCCATTATTCTCAGCAACTAGCCAGACAATCCTTATAAATAAGAGACTAGATTTAAAGAGGATTCTTAGTGAATTCCAAGAATTGAGGTAGATCAATAGATTATTATTGGATCCTTTCCTTCTAGTCTTCACCGAAGAGTCACATGCATGCATTTTGGAATCGTGCGTAGATCTCATAATCAGATAACTTCCCTGACAAAGGAGCTGTCTCTTGCCTGACAATTCATCTCTGTTAACAAGGTGTTGAACAAAACTGTAACTCTTAAAAGCGAAGTTATCTTCTTACAAAGTTTTCCTCCATCTTTCAAAAGAATAATCACTCTTCTCTGTGATGGTTTCTAGGGTGATATAGGATATTGGGACCAGCAAGACAGCCAGTATACTAGGCATTACAACTCTATGCCATGATTTTTACAGCTTTTGCAGAAATTCTTTCTAGAAGAACAAGGGCAACACCCACAGAACCCACAGGCAAACTTCACCTTGCCCTCCAGACATCAGTGTTTTGTGGTCTCACTGTGCATCCCTGTTTTGGATCATCGAGCAGTGGGCACAGAAGCTCAATGTTATTGTTTCAATCCCCATGGACTGAGGTGGCTTCCGGATTTAAAGGGGTTGCATTTATTATTTTTTGGACATTAAAAAGCAACTTCAAATATGAGGGAATTTAGAAAGCCACCACCTGTTCCCAGGGCCCCAAAATACCAGAGAAGAAGACCTTAAGCATTTCACCTTAGGCTGATCTCAGACACAAAGACAGATTTAAACAAGAGCAATAATAATGGATAATAAATAATCATAGCAATAATAACAACACTGACAACAACTGCAAATGCTGGGATAAGGAGATAATCAGATTCCTAATGTCATTACATTATAAAATTCAAATATCCAATTTTTAACAAAATATCACAAGGCACATGAAGGAACATGGAAGCACAGGCCATTCAAAGGAACAAAATAAATGGAAAAAAAATCCTTGAAGAAGCCCAGATGGCAGACTTATTAGACAAAGACTTTAAAGGATTGTTTTAAAGATGCACAGATACTAAAGAAAGACATGGGAAAAGACATAAATAAGACAGATGAACATAATGAGAGTATTAAAAAAAGAGATAGAAATTATAAAAACAGGAACCAAAAAAGAAATTTTGGAGCTGAATAGTATGATAACTGAGTAGAATAGAAAGTCAAGAGAGGAAATCAGTGAAAAACCTTGGTTCTTTGAAAAGATCAGCAAAATTGACAAATCTTTAACTACACTGACAAAACAGAAAGAAGGCACAAATTAAAAAGATCAAAATGAAAGTGAGCATATAACTTACAGAGACCAAAAAAGTTTTATAAAAGAGCACTATGAACAATTGTACAACAGCAAGCTGGATAACTTATGAAATGGACACGTTCTTAGAAACACACAACCCAATAACTCTGAATCATGAAGATACAGAAATTCAGAATAAACCTACACTAGTGAGGAGATTGTATTAACAGTGAAAAACATTCACAACAAAGAAAAGCCTTGGACCACATGTCTTTACTGATGAATTCCACTAAGCAGTTAAAAAAGAATTAACACCAATCTCTTCAAAAAATTAAAGAGGAAGGAACACTTTTTAACATATTCTATGAGACCAGAATTATTCTAATACTAATGCTAAATAAAGACATCATTAAATACATTAGAGAGCAATATCCCTTGTTCATATAGATGTAAAAATCCTCAACAAAATAGTATTAAATGTAATTCAACAACATATTAAAGTGATATTCACCTTGACCAAGAGGGATTTATCCTGAGAATGTAAGAATGTCTCAACATAAAAAAATAATTGATCAATATAATATGCCATATTAATGGGATGAATGGAGAAAAACATGATAATCCTAACTGATACAGAAAGTGGCATATGAAAAAATCCAATATCCTTTTATTATTTTAAAAAACTCTTCAGAAAACTAGAAATAAAGGGAAAATTTCTCAGTATGATGAAGTATATTTATGGAGAATCCACAGCTAACATCATAGTCAAAGAAAGACTGAAAGCCTTCCCACTGAGCTCAGGAAAAATGGAAGTGTATAACTTTCATTCTGCTATTCAACATTATAATGGAAGTTCCAGCTTCAGCTATCAGACAGAAAAAAAAAACATATCCAAACTGAAAATGAAGAGGTAAAATTATATGGAACCACAAAAGACCTAGAATTGCCAAAACATTACTGAAGAAAAACAAAGGGGCTGGAGGAATAACTCTCCCAGACTTCAGACAATACTACAGAGCTGTAGTCATCAAAACAACATGGTATTGGTACAAAAACAGATATATGGATCAATGGAACAGAATAAAGAGCCCAGAAATGAACCCACAAACCTTTGGTCAACTAATCTTCGACAAAGGAGGCAAGAATATACAGTGGAATAAAGACAGTCTCTTCAGCAAATGGTGTTGGGAAAACTGGACAGCAGCATGTAAATCAACAAAGCTAGAACACTCCCTTACACCGTACACAAAAATAAACTCAAAATGGATCAAAGACTTAAACATAAGACAAGATACAATAAATCTCCTAGAAGAAAACATAGGCAAAGCATTATCTGACATACATCTCAAAAATGTTCTCATAGGGCAGTCTACCCAAGCAATAGAAATAAAAGCAAGAATAAACAAATGGGACCTAATGAAACTTACAAGCTTCTGCACAGCAAAGGAAACCATAAGTAAAACAAAATGACAACCTAAGGAATGGGAGAAAATTTTTACATATGATGAAAGCGATAAAGGCTTGATCTCCAGAATATATAACCAGCTCATATGACTTAATAAGAAAAATACAAACAACCCAATCCAAAAATGGGCAGAAGACCTAAACAAGCAATTCTCCAAGGAAGACATACAAATGATCAAAAAGCACATGAAAAAATGCTCAGTATCACTAATTATCAGAGAAATGCATATCAAAACTACAATGAGGTATCACCTCACACCAGTCAGAATGGCCATCATTCAAAAGTCCACCAACAACAAATGCTGGAGAGGCTGTGGAGAAAAGCAAGCCCTCCTACACTGCTGGTGGGAATGCAGTTTGGTGCAGCCACTGTGGAAAACAAAAGACTAAGAATAGACTTACCATATGACCCAGGAATCCCACTCCCAGGCATATACCCAGAAGGAACCCTACTTCAAAAAGACACCTGCTCCCCAAAGTTCATAGCAGCACTATTTACAGTAGCCAAGACAAGGAAACAGCCTAAATGTCCATCAACAGATGACTGGCTGAAGAAGCTGTGATATATTTATACAATGGAATACTATTCAGCCATCAAAACCTACAACATAATGCCATTTGCAGCAACATGGATGTTCCTGGAGAATGTCATTCTAAGTGAAGTAAGCCAGAAAGAGAAAGAAAAATACCATATGAGATCGCTCATATGTGAAATCAAAAAGAAACAGACCCATAGACATAGAATACAAACTTGTGGTTGCCAAGGGGAAGGGGGGTGGGAAGGGATAGACTGGGAGTTCAGAATTTGTAGATACTGACAGGCATATGCAGGATAGGTAAACAAGATTATACTGTATAGCACAGGGAAATATATACAAGATCTTGTGTTAGCTCACAGCGAAAAAAGATGTGACAATGAATATATGTACGCTCATGTTTAACTGAATAATTGTGCTCTATATTGGAACTTGACACAACATTGTAAAATGACTATAACTCAATAAAAAAATTAAAAAAAAGATATCAGGTTTTGCTCACTTCAGCATCACATATACTAAAATTGGAATGATACAGAGTAGATTACCATGGCCCCTGCACATGGATGACACACAAATACATGAAGAGTTCCATATTTTGAAATTTTAGATACTGACAGGCATATGCAGAATAGATAAACAAGATTATACTGTATAGCACAGGGAAATACATACAAGATCCTGTAGTAGCTCACAGCTAAAAAAAATGTGACTATGAATATATGTATGTTCATGTATAACTGAAAAGTTGTGCTCTACCCTGGAAATTGACACAACATTATAAACTGACTATAACTCAATAAAAAATGTTAAAAAAAACACAAAGACATTCAAACTGAAAATGAAAAGGTAAAATTATCTCTGTTCACAGATGACATATCCTATGTATAGGAAATCCCAAATTATTCACAAGAAATCTACTAGAACTAATAAACAAATGCAGCAGAATTGCAGGGTTCAAGAGGAACACACACAAAATTTAGTTATGTTTCTGTATACCAGCAATGAACACATGAAAAGAAAAATCAGGAAAGCAATTTCATATAAAGTACTATCTAAAATAATGAAATACTTAGGAATAAATCTAATCAAGGAGATGAAGACTTGTACACTGAAAACTACAAAACAATGATGAAAGAAATTAAGGAAGGTCTAAGTAAGGGGAAACACAGCCCGTCTTCATGACTTAATAGTGTTAAATGTCAATAATACCCAAAGTGATCTATAAATGCAATACAATCCTTATCAGAATTCCAATAGCCTTTTATTTACAGAAGTGAATGGAGAAAACAATCCTCAAATTCATATGGAATTACATGGGACCCCAAATAGCCAAAACATCTTGAAAAAGAAGAATAAAATTGGAAGACTAATGCTTCCCTACTTTGAAACGTACTATAATGCGATAGTAACTTCAAACAATATGGTATTGACATAAGGACAGATCAATGGACTAGAATAGAGCAACCAGAAATAAATCTTTATGTGTATGGTTAATTAATTTTCTAGAAGGGTGCCAAGACTTTTCAAAGGGGAAAGGACAAACGGTACTGGGAAAATTGGATATTCACATGCAAAAGAATAAAGTTGGACTTATTCCATATGACCTTATACCATATATAAAACTAACTCAAAATGAATTAAAATAAACTTAACAGATAAAGCTATAAAACTCAAAAGAAAACATTGGAGAAAATGTTCATGACACTGCATTTAGAAACAACTTCATGTTACCAGAAGACCAGGCAGTAAAAGGAAAACAATAAACTGGACTTCATCAAAATTAAGAAGTTTTATGCCTTGAAGAATACAATCTACAAAGTGAAAAAAAACTAAATAATGGGAGAAGATGGCTGCAAATCTTATATCTGATAAAGGACTAATATTCAGATTATATAAATAACTTCTAAAACTCAACTAAAACAAAAATAGGTAGGTTATTAAAACAGAAACATACACACATGAAAAATAACAGATACTGGCACAGGATAAATTGGAAACCTGTGCTTTGTTGGTGGTAAAATGGTACAGCCACTGTGGAAAATGGTTCAGTTTTTTCTCAAAATGTTATGCTACTATATAATTTACCAATTCCACTTCTAGGTATATGTCCAAAATAATTGAAAAATATGGATTTCAATATACATTTGTACACTAATGTTTATAGCAGCATTATTTGCAAAAGCTAAAAGGTAGAAATAATCCAAGTGTTCACCAACAAATGAATGGGTAAACAATAGATGGTATAAACACAAATGGAATATTATTCAGTCATAAAAAGAATGATATTTTGATATATGCTACAAGATGAATGGGCCTTAAAACATTATGTTTACTAAAATAAATCAGGCACAGAAGGACAACTATTGTATGACTCCATTTATATGGTGTACCTAGAATATGCAAATTCATAGAGAAAGTAGAATGGAGGTTGTCAAGGGTTGCAAGAAGAGTGTAAGGCAGAGTTATTGTTTAACTTGGGTAGAGAGATTTTGTTGGGGATGATAAAAATTTTGAGTCTAGATAGTGGTGCTGTTGTATAAAACTGAAAAAGCATTTAGTGCCACAGAATTTTTGGTGTGGGTCTCTTTGGACTTATCCTAGTTAAAATCCTCTGAGCTTTTTGAATTTGGATGTCTATTCCTTCTTCAGATATGGGAATTTTTAGCCATATTTCTTCAAATAAACTATCTGCCCTTTGTCTCTCTCTTCTGAGACTCTCATAATGTGTATATTGATCTGCTTGATGATTTTCCATAAGTCCCTGAGATTTTCTTCATTTTTCTTCTTTTTCTCCTTCTTCTTCTTTTTACCTTTGTGTTCCTGTGACTTAAGAATTTCAAATGACTTATCTTTGAGTTTAATTCCTTCTTCTCTTTAATCAAGTCTGCTGTTGAACTCCTTGAATGAATTTTTCAACTCAATTATTGCATTCTTTAGCTCTATAATTTGTTTGATTCTTTTTAATAGTTTCTATCTGTTGATATTCTCATTATGTTCATGCATCATTTTCTGGATTTTCTTTAGTTTTCAATTTGCTTTATTTTAGATAATTGAGCTTCTTTAAGACAATTATTTTGAACTGTTTGTCAGGTAATTCAAAGATCTCCCTTTTCCAGTGTCAGTTTTTGGAGATTTATTTCATTCCTTTGATTGGGCCATGTTTCCGTGTTTCTTTGTATGCCTTATTTTTTCCCTTGGGATTTGGGCATTTGCAAAATACAACCACTGCTCTCAGCTTTTATGGCCTAAGATTGGATAGGAGAAGGCCTTCACCAATCAGCCCCGCTAGAAATTCTAGGGGCATCACTAACCTTTTTCGGGATGTGTTTTCTTTGGAATTATGTGTGTAATTTCTGAATTAGAGGAGTTTGCGGCCTTCTTTTTTCAAGAGGTCATAATCTCTTCTTCTCTCTAGTGTCTGCCTGCAGCACTGCAGGTTCTCTGGTGCTGTAAAAAGTCACTGAGCTCTCCTTTATTCTCAAGGGCCCTCAAGCATCCAAAGTATTCTATTTCCCTGTCAGTGCTCCAAGTCAGACAAGACAGCAGATGGTCCCTTGGGAAGTCCCCAGAAAGCCTTTAATATTAGTTACACATTCCACTCCTCTCTCACCTCCGGGAGAGACCCTGTCTGTGAGCTGGGTGCTTTCTTCCTATCACACTGAGGCACGTCAGCTTGAGGAAAGGGCTATCATGAATAAAACGCCACAGCTCCCTTACCCATTTCAAGGTAGCTATTCTTGACTTTGCACTCACTTGGGGTATTATAACTTCTTAACTGATTTCTAGAGATTTCATAAAGCCTCTTTGGTAGCAATAGCTGTGGTTGGCAACTTACATAAATGGCTAGAGTACAATATGCAATTCATGATAACCTGGGTCCTAAAGGACCACCGTATGATGGTAACTGCATTTAGCTTCTGGTTTGTCTGTGTGTGTGTGTGTGTGTGTGTGTGTGTGTGAGTGTGTGTGTGTGTGTTCTCCTCATATCTGTTTAAAAAAATCAAGCATGGGTAATTTTGTGATGAAAAGGATATTACATTCAGACTGTTATGTGGTCATACAGAGCCATTTGACAAACACATTGTTGTCTATCACTGGGAATGATCAGACTCTGATTTAGCAGAGATGATCAAATATGAAGAAATCAAGTCTTGGATTAACTGAATGCACCAGTATCTTTAAGTGACTCTGACCTGAAATCATCATGAAGTATCCTAGGACGTATATACTGTTGACACTGGAGACTAATAGTCTATTATTATTTCAGGAAATGGCTTAAGGTAGCTTTTGCCAAACTGTTCCTCTCTCCCTTTTTTTCTGCAGGTTTCTAGACTAGAAAAAAAAATTCCCAGTCCTCCAAGTTTATGTTATTTCCTGCTGTATCCCAGTATACCCTAAAACAAATTAATTCTTTGTCTTTTGAGTTCTTTAATGGGAAATGCAATTGTCAATGAGAAAATGGATAAGAGGAAACTTGAGAATAAAGGAAAGGATTTGTTAATTTAAGATTATTTATTGTGCATTCAATTTGTGCTAATGAGTAGGCTGTACTTCAACTGAATTCAAATTCAGTAGCCTTGGAATGTTTTCAAGATGTGACTTCAGTTTATGTTTTTTGCTGCCTGCACAGAACCTTGGATTTCTGCTGGCAACTTTTCTTGTATTTATATCTTGTAATAGCTGAGAGAGGGTCACTGGGAAGAAGCCCTTTGAGCACTGTTTCAAAACTTAAATGTACAAATACATTTAAGGTAGTTACCTGGTGATCTTGTCAAAATGCAAACTCAAATTCAGCAAGTCTGGGTGGGGCCTGAGATTCTGCATTTCTTATGAGCCACAGGTAATTCTAGTACTGCCAGGATGAGCACAGACTCACCATCAGGGATCTACTTGATGCCTGTATCACAGCCTTCCAAATATGAAACAAGAGGAACTTTCTAAGGACAATTTTAAGGACAAACTGAAGATCATCATTGAGACCTACTGCTGAGTAACTGTTGTGTTGCTTTAGTTAAGAGGGAAGAATTTCAAATATCTTGTTATCATCCAGTATTTCTCACTGGACTCAATGGTACTTAGACTGATAAAGGTCAAAAACTGTTCAGTGCCTCTTGTGAACTTACTTTCTTATTGCTTTTATCTTGCTGTTAAGTCACTGAGCAAGTAGGAGATGAATATTTAATAAATATTTTAATGTTTAACAATTAGTTTTTTAATCTGTTTTCAAAGCCTATTGGGATAAATTGGTTTTGTTTTAAGGAGTAGTCTTTTTTAAGGAGAAGCGAAATAAAGCTTTGACTGTTTGTGGGAGGTTGGAGGAAGTGGGTTGTGAGTGAATAAAGTGTGTGTGTGTGTGTGTGAGAGAGAGAGAGAGAGAAAGAAAAAGAGAAAGACAGAGATGTGGGGGATAATGACGGAAAGAAAAGGAGACTATGAGAAAAAATGTATAAGGATGACTACACTGATGTTTTCTTGATGTTTTCAGTGAAATTGCAGTGCATCTATTTTTCAGTAAATGCGCTCTTCTCTGTAAAAGAATATGTATGGGTGAAGAAGTCACTAGACTACCTGGGATTACTTCCTTGCTGGACCCAGATG